TCTTCCCAGAGCCACGTAGTCCGCAGTGATCCGCTCAAGGTCATTCTTGGCAGTATCATTGGTGCCGACGTGGAGAAGCAGGAAGAGTGTCCACACAGGGTTGTCCCACCATTTAACTAAATCAACTAAAAATACACTGTTAGTTAAAATGATGCAATTTTTAATATAGGCAAGATATAAGGTGGGTATTCCACATACCTCAGTTGTGAGTTCCGACTTGCTGTACATCTGTACCCCTGTGTTTGCAAGAAAACAAGTGAATCCATATTTCCAACATCATAACATTAATATCAGTTAAGAATCAGATTTCTTTACTAGGTTTTAATTTGTGTTAAATGAGTCACTCCTCTTATTCTATTTTTTTCCTAATATTTTATCTTTTTCTAATATTTTTTCTAATATTTTGCATAGGATTGTTACAACAATTAAGCTGAAGAAAAGCATCCTAACTGACCCAATTCTTTGAGCTTCAAGAGACTTTCTTGCATCTTTGTATGATTTGCATTGTAATTGCACAATGGGCTTCTGCTTCAGTAAATCCAATACTCCAGTATTCATCTTACAGAAAGAACCAAAAGTGGGGAATGTTGCAGAAGATTATTTGCGAAAAAACACTGAAGAAATCCAGTTAGGAGACAGGACTCACTTATTTCAAAATACAGAAAAAATTAAGTTTGAACAAACAGAAAATAGTATTAGAAATAGTGCAGAAACTCACACGGATTCCTATTCTGATAATGCATTACACTGTGTGACTTATGTTAAAGAAACTGATGGTTTAGAAATGACAGATGTGGAATGAGATTTGATGATATAATTCAGGACTTGATCCAGCCTGAACAAATGAATATGGCATAAAAATATTCTAATTAGTCTACCAAATAACAAATAAAAACAAAATAATGTTCAATAGCTGAGTCAAATAACCATAATCGAATACACTTTCGATTTCAAGATCTATTATTTGGCAATCTTTGGAGTAATTTTTATCATTGTTAAAAGTTCTCTCTTCCCATCCACGACAAATCAAATGTCTTAAAACATGTTCTTATTTTGGGGAGTATGACGGGATGCACAATCCCCACATTAGGCCTGAAGGTGTTCAACGACAATACTGGGCCCAAATAGCTCTGCCCTTCCAGCCTCCAGAGCATGCTCCAACTGAAGAGGAAACTTAAAAGGGAGCAACTCAGTTCAGAAGAGGGAGGCTGCTGGACAAGTGTACCAAAGAAGCCTCCCTGTGAAGACAAAGGCCTTGTCTATACAACATAGTTTTGTCAGCAAAAGGTGGCTTTTGCTGACAAAACACTGCAAGTTTACATCCTACAAAGCTACATTTGGCAGCAAAACGTTGCTGTTTCGCTGACAAAGTAAAATCACCTTGACGAGACGCAAAAAGCTTTTTGCGGAAAAGTTAAAGTGACAAAGCATCAGTGTTCGTTATGTCAAGATAACTGTCCCCCCAGTATCCCATAATGCCTGCCGTGACCGCTCTGCTCACTGTTTTGAACTCGGCTGCCCTGCAGGCAGTGTTCCCTTTAATTTTTCCCACCCATGTGTGGAATGAATTTTGTTATGTGCATCAATATGGAGGTGATGTGTGATACATCACCTTCATATTGGTGCACATAACAATATTCATGTGGTGGGGGTGGGGCCAAAGGGTTCGGAGTCTGGGAGGGAGCTCAGGGCAGGGGCAGAGGGTTGGGGTGCAGAGGTTTGAGGGCTCCGGCTGGGGGTAAGGGCTCTGGGGTGGGGCCGGGGATGAAGGGTTTGGGTTGTAGGAGGCTGCTCCAGGGCTATGGCGGGGAGAGAGGACTACCCTCCACTTCTCTTTTCCCACAGCAGCACCTGGGCTGGGGGGGGAGAGGCACCTCTCCCCACTGTGGCAGCTCCAGGACTGGGACCGCAGGATAGGTGCCCCTCCCCTGGCAGGTCCGGGCCGGGGCTGGGTTCGCGCCGGGGGACGAGCACTGCACGTCTGTCTGCCTTGAAGAAGTGGCGGAGGGAAGTCTAGTCTCTGGCTTAGGCTGGACTCCCCTGGCTACTGGGTTCACTAGCAGCCTCTCCTCTTGGGCCACCTTCAACTTTTTAAGCTCCCCTTCTCCAAGTAGGGCATGCTCTGCACGTGTGCCTAATTTGCACTGAGTGCAGGGATGCTCATAAGGCTAACTGTCAGTGGGATGGGGGCATGTCCCATCGCATTCTACCCTCCCTCTGCCCCTCCACCTCCAGTCCCTCTCAAGACCAGAAAAGTTTCTTGTTCAAGCATCAACCCAGTCCCAATGTTTCAGGGGGAAAAAAAAATCGGCATTTGCATGCTCCTTCCTGTCTCAGTGCTGCATCTGGAAGCTAGCTATAAGGCTGGAGTGCTAGATACCAGCACATAATCCTGGGGCTAGAGTCCTTTAAAGAGTGTAGCCACTGTAAGGGCACTGTCTGTAACTAGGGAGTAAGGACTACCAAGCAGGTAATACATGTGGGTGTCCACAGTCCACTTTATTGCCAGAGTTTCTTTCTCAATAACAGAATATGCTTTCTCCCTGGGGAACAACTGAAGGCAAAGAGCAGAAAAAGTCCTGGGAGAGCACTGTTCTCAGGCCAGTGTCAGATATGTCCGTATTCATCACATTGTCTCAACAGGCTTTTTGGTGTCTTTGCCCTGTAGCAAATCAGTCCAGGGTGCTGTGATAGATGCAAAGCTGGGGATGAGCCAATGATAATATCCCACCAACCTCAGGAGATAGCATATGTGTCTTCTGGTCTGGGATGGAGGTCAGGAGTTAAACACATGGACTTTCTCTATCATTGATTTTACAAGACTTCCTTCTTCCTGATACACTAAATAAGTCACTTCTTACACTTGGCAGGTGAGGAGGTAGAGCTTGAGGGGAGTACGCCTATGGACCCTCTCTTTGCCATACAACCCTCTGTGTAGTTGCACTCCATCAATGAGCACTCTTTCCTCATGTGCCTCTGTTGCCCACAGGCAGGGGTGTGCGCAGGAATAAAAATGTGACTGCTTTTGGAGAGACACGTTCTGCGCCCCTGCCATGGTCCCAGACCCAGAGGAGCTATCAGCTGTTGCCCAGGGCCAGAGGAACTCTGTGCTCCTGCCAATTATTGGGGGGACATGTGCCCGTGCTTGCCCCCCCTTGTGCATGCCCCTGCCCACAGGAATAGCAGATTACCAAGCTTATGTCTGCAGGCTCCCTTTTGACAGGGGACTTATTTAGACTATGAGGGAGACCTTTGTCTGAGCTCAAGGACTCCAGCCCAGTTGTTTGTGTCACTGGGCAGTTATCTGGGTAATACTTCATCTGAGCTCACCCATGTGTCTTGCCACGGTCTCTCTCTCTCTCCTCATGTGGGTAGGTCTTCTGGGGTGCCATGTCTGCTGGGGGAATCTGCTGTTGGTAGACCTAGTTGGCAAGTGGACGGAGGCTACGTGTTTCCCATCTCCAGGGACCTTTTGACTACGAGAAAATTATCTATCAGTTGCTTTGTGTCTGACAACAACTCAGGGCAATGCCAGAGAACCCACTCCCAGCCCCTCTCTGAAAGTATGAGCATGAGATGCTCTATGAGGACCAACTCTGCAACTTGAGTCCTGGAACGCTCCTGGAGGTGAAGCCATTGCCAGCAATGCTCTTTTAAATCTTGCACCTCCAAGCATGCCCCCTTGTGGTAGGTCTCTGTCCTAAAGTTCTGTCAATGTGTCTCTTTGGTAATATCCAGATATTCCAAAATAGCAATCTTCACCCAATTGTAGTCTCTAGCCTGTTCCGAGCCAAGGTTACAGCAGGCCAACTGTGCCTGTCTCATTAGGTAGGGAGCTAAAACTAACACCTGATGCTCCAGAGGTCACTGAGATGCCAATGCTGCCCTCTCAAAGGTGATGAAGAATGCATCCAGAGCACTGTTGGGGCCAATCTTAGTTAACTTCTGGCACAAGTGAGAGTTCCTCCCGGTGTATTGGGCCCTACCAGGCCTCCCTGTGCAGGGGCTGGGGTTTTTAACTGTGGCAAAAAGTCTCTCTAGAGTTCTTGCTGGTCGGTCACAATCTCTTTCAGCAACTCCTGCTGTGCTGACTGGGCCTGCTGCTGGGCCATCCAAGGCTGCAATATCTGCTGCTGGCACTGGATGGCCTGCTGCTGTTGCCATTCCTCCATCTAGTGCTCAGGATCCATCTCAACCGATGCCCCCTCTCCAAGGACTAGCACAAAACCTGTCTCTCTCTCAAGGCAGTGTACTGTATCAGGCACAGAGCATCATGCCTGGATCCTTCACCACCCGTAGTCAGCTGGCTCTCAGCCCGGGCTCAGCTGTCACCTCTTTACATCTCTTGTCCTTGGAGCCCTCAGTCCTGGGCAAGCTCACTGTCCCCTGCGGCAGTTGAACTCACTCCTGGGTCCCTTTCTGAGTCTAATTACTCCAGTCCCTGGCACTGTTGCTTAGGTCCAGGCAGCTAGAGGGCACAGATGGAGAGCAGATGGCCAGAGCCCCTCTCAGGGCTGCATGTCCCCCTACCCTAAACAAGGGGAAGGAAAGGCTCGTCACTGCCTTGGGATGTGTTCCTGATGTCAGGTATGACACAATCACTTTGTGAGAAGCATTCACCCATGGTGGATACGGTGTTTCTGCCTTTTTTTCAGACAAACCACAAAGGCTTGTCTCTGACCCCAGCAGGAGTCGGTCCCGCAGAACAGACGCTATCAGCCCAACCCTGCCTCGCTCACAGAAGGACACACACAGAGCAAAATCCCTTCCTGCCCCTGCCGTGCGCAGCCTGGTCTGGCTCAGCCCCCGGCCCCAGCGCGGCAGAGCTCCCCTCACGCTTCGCCAGTAGAACCAAGCACCGCGCAGCTGAGCCTTGCCTTCTCCCGCCAAAGCCCCCACTCGCTCACGTGACCTACCAAGTCGCCTGGCAAGCCCCGCCCCCCGTGCGTGAGAGGGACGCGGTGTCTCCTCTTCTCCCTTCCCCCGCGTCACCGAGCGATTCGCTGGGGGAACGTCAGGTCCCAGCTGCGGCGCGGGGCCGGAAGGGTTTGGGATGCGCACCGAGGACAGACGGTCGATATAACGGGCCGCGTGGGAACGGGAGGCGGCTGGAGTCTTCCGCCGTGAGTAGTGACCTGACCCCGCTACAGGCACCGGCGCTCGGGGTTTCTTGCTCTCCTGGCACAGCCGGGCCCGGCCCTACCCTGCCACCCGCCCCTGGTCTGCGTCCCAGCGGTCTGCCGTCGGAGGGTGCGTAACAGGAGGGCACGTCCCCCCCCCACCCCCCTTGCCCCCCCGGCGCTGCCAAGCTTCCCTGCCCCGCCCCCCTCGAGCCGGCGGAACGTCACACCCAGCGCGTTCCGCCACCGCGGAGCTAAAATAGCCTCGGGCGGGGCCCCTCCGTCGCGCTCCCGCCCTGCCCGCGGCTCCTGCGCCCGGCAGGGTTGGTAACTCCGGTGCCAAGGAGCGACTGGGCCCGGAACTGACCTATGCCCGCTCCTCTCTAGCGCGGTCCCTGAAGCGGGGCGGGGGGGAAGAGTGACCTTGACAAGACGACGCGTTTTAGTGTCCAGGGCCATTTAAATCCTGCACGTATTAGCTGGACCACTTTACTGACTCCTTAAAAAGTTAACCTGCATATTTGTGGCAGACTAGATTGTTAAATACTTCTACTGCTCTTGAGGGAATTCCGTGCCAACAAAATAAAAATTTTGCACACGTTTTGAAATGTTGCACCATTCTGCAAATTTTATTTGTCAATACATAAATGTGGAGGCTTCGGCATGGGAGTGGGGACCACAGGCCATTGGCTACACAGAAGTGGGAGATCACCCTATAGCTCCCCCTCAGATACAGAGCTGAGGAGTGGTTGGCCCTGCCCCTCTATGCCAGGCACACTAGATGTGGACAGGCAGACTCCTAGTGTGGGAGCAGATCCAAGTGCTGGGTGAGAGGGTTCTGTGTGGGGCAGTCTGGCTGCTAGCAGCTTGGATACAGCTGTGTGTGTGTGGGAGGGGATCTTGATGAACAGGGGCTGGTTGGAAGGTTCCGGGTGCAGGAGCAATGGCACTCTGCAGTAGCGTCCAGGGGAAGGTGGTTGTGGCTCAGCGGGAGGTCCAGGTGCTGGGGAGTGGGGCTTGGTGGGGTGGGGGTCTGGGTATAGCTGGTTTGGGCTCAGTGTGGTGGGGCATGTGACCACTCTTGTGGCTTCCCTTTGCTTCCCCAGCAGTAAGTCACTTTTCTGCAGAGAAGCAAAGAAATCTGGAGAAGAGGGGACCATGAATTCTGCGCATGCGCAGTGGCACAGAATTCCCCCAGGATCAATGTTAATGACAGTATTGTAAAATTACATTGTAGGGGGGGAAACAAATACAATCAGATACTATACTTTCCTCCCCTTCCTCACTTCTAGTAATATGCAGCAAGAGGAAACAGCCTTCTATAGCCCCATCTTAGATACTGACCATGCACCTGTGGTGGAATACCATCATCATATCTGGGAGAAGGAAATCTACCTTGAAAACACATTCATTGTGGTAGCATCACTATTTGGTATCCTGGGAAGAAAGTGAGTACAGCATGATTGCCTTTAGTGATGTGTTTGTACTGGAGCAGTGCGGATTATGAACATCTTATACTAAACTTTGACAGACCTGCCTCTCCTTTCACAAGTTATCTGATAATTTTATTAAAACCATGGTAATCCTATCATCCCTGAAGAACTATTTTCAGTTATTTTATGTCCTCAAGATTTCAGCAGCTGGCTTCAAGTGTACAGCAAACAGAGGACTCATTCTACAGTCTGTTTCTAGTGATGTTTACCAGAATTTGGCTGTGGAAGATTGGATTCATGACAACATGAATTTAGAGAACAGACAGGTTCTTTTCCTTTGGAGAAATTCTCCCACTGTGGTGATTGGGAGACACCAGAATCCCTGGCAGGAATGTAACCTCAAGATAATGAGGAAGAAGAACATAAAACTAGCTCGAAGGAGAAGTGGGGGAGGGACGGTTTACCATGATCTGGGCAATATCAATTTTACTTTCTTCACATCCAAGAAAAAATATGAGCGAATGGAAAACTTAAAATTGGTTGTTAGGGCTCTAAAAGGATTGCAACCCCAGTTAGATGTGTATGCCACTGACAGATTTGATCTCTTGCTAGATGGGAATTTTAAAATCTCAGGTACTGCTGCAAAGCTAGGAAAGACGGTTGCTTATCATCACTGCACTTTGCTATGCAATGCAGATAGGTTTCTTTTATCTGCTGTACTGAAGAGTCCTTACAAGGGGATAAAAAGCAATGCCACTCCTAGCATGCCTGCTTTAGTGAAAAATCTCTTTGAAGAGGATCCTACGTTAACATGTGAGATGGTCATGGATGCTGTTGCTGCAGAATATGCAAGATGCCATCAAATTGACCATCATATTACCCTAATAAACCCAGCCGATGAGACAGTGTTTCCTGGAATTAATAATAAAACCAAAGAACTACAAACCTGGGAATGGATATATGGCAAGACACCAAAATTTAGTATTAGCAGTTGCTTTAACATAGTGTATGAACATATTCTCCTTGAAGTTAAAGTGGATATTCATGTAAAGCATGGGAGAATTGAAGTTTGTAACATAGATTTGCCAGAGCAGTGGCTGCCACCAGCAATGTGCAATGAACTAGAGAAAAACCTAATTGGCAGTAAGTTTTGCCCCAGTGAAACCACAGTATTAGCAAGTGCTCTGCTGAGAATATGGCCACAAAACTATGAGTTGCACAGGAAGTGGAGTCTCTTATGTGAGAATGTGATGACACTAATGTGATTTTCATAATGAAAGTGTAAGTCACATCTCTGATATGGACTAGTGCATGATTTACTAAAAACGTAGAATAAAATGTTTATTTTCAGTATGTTGTGCAAGTTGATTTTATAGGAGTAAGTTACCACTGAAGTAACTTTCTCTTGATTTATCCACTAACGTTCTTGGAGTCTAGTGCTTTAGTTCATGACTGATTGTGTAACTACTAATTAGACTGATTATAAAACTAAATTTCATATCACCACTGTCAACATGAAACTATTTCTCAATTACTGAAGCCTGAACATGTACTTAGTCACCCAAATACATGAAGATACTTCAGACTAGATCTATATGCTAAGAGTTCACATCTCAGAGGCAGTGACTTGCTGGAAAGCTATATTGGATTTGGACAGAATGATAGTTTGTTTTAAAAAGACTGAAGCCACTAGACTAATATGAGGTGGTATTTTGATACGTTTGTTAACTTCTAAGAGTTTAAAGTTAAATGTATACATGGAGTATCCGCATGATCTACATTTTAGGCTCTAAATTAAATTTTATTCTAGACTTCCATCTTATGGTCTACATGGTAAAGTTTGCATGTTAACATCATGAAAAAAATCAGTATCAGTAAATAATGGGCCATGCACCTGTGACCAGCTCAGACATCATGCAGGAGAACTGCATTTTGATTCCTGTGTCTTGCTCTCTGGGATGGTTCTAGTCCTCAACTGGAAGGATAATGGCCACAAAGCAGGACCACACATTTAGACAGTCTGATCAAGTATGACATATTCTGTTCAGTTATCTTCCATTTATCGGTATGTGGGCCCCTCAGTACATGCACTGCCATTAGTATTCAAATAAGTTAATCACTGAAATGGAGACTTTTGAAGGGTGTTAAATTGTGGTGTGATTGCCAAATGGTATTTCACAGAGGACTCTGCACAAATATTCACTGATTTTACAGCTCTCCACCTTGTTTTAGAAGGAAACAATTGGCCTTAATTATCTAGTTAACTAAGCTACAGTTTAACATGGTTTCAGAGTAACAGCCGTGTTAGTCTGTATTCACAAAAAGAAAAGGAGTACTTGTGGCACCTTAGAGACTAACCAATTTATTTGAGCATAAGCTTTTGTGAGCTACAGCTCACTTCATCGGATGCATACTGTGGAAAATACAGAAGATGTTCTTATACATACAAACCATGAAAAAATGGGTGTTTACCACTACAAAAGGTTTTCTCTCCCCCCACCCCACTCTCCTGCTGGTAATAGCTTATCTAAAGTGATCACTCTCCTTACAATGTGTATGATAATCAAGGTGAGCCATTTCCAGCGCAAATCCAGGGTTTAACAAGAACATCTGAGGAACCGGGGGAGGGGGGTGGAACAAGGGGAAATAGGTTACCTTGCATAATGACTTAGCCACTCCCAGTCTCTATTCAAGCCTAAGTTAATTGTATCCAATTTGCAAATGAATTCCAATTCAACAGTCTCTCGCTGGAGTCTGGTTTTGAAGTTTTTCTGTTGTAATATCGCAACTTTCAGGTGTAATCACATGACCAGAGAGATTGAAGTGTTCTCAGACTGGTTTATGAATGTTCTAATTCTTGACATCTGATTTGTGTCCATTTATTCTTTTACGTAGAGACTGTCCAGTTTGACCAATGTACATGGTGTTTTCCTTCAATCCTATTGTTTTTTCTTTAAAGTATAATACTAAAGACAGTTGCCTAACTTCTATATATTTGGATTTTCTGTGTTGGATCAAAAACATCTAAGTTTGTGAAGCGTGTATAATTTACAGAAACGTAACTAGTTTCCTAAGCACTTGTGAACTTTTAGCACTGCTAATTCATCATATTTGATACAGTAGAACCTCAGAGTTTACGAACACCTTGGGAATGGAGGTTGTTTGTAACTCCGAAATGTTCGTAATTCTGGACAACATATTATGGTTTTTCTTTCAAAAGTTTAGAACTGTACCTTGGCTTAATATAGCTTTGAAACTTTACTATGCAGAAGAAAAATGCTGGTTTTAACTATCTTAATTTAAATGAAACTAGCACAGAAACAGTTTCCTTACCTTGCAATTTTTTTAACTTTCCCTTTTAGTTGTTTACATTTAACACAGTACTGTACTGTATTTGCTTTTTTGTTTTGTCGCTGCCCGATTGTGTACTTCTGGTTCCAAATGAGGTGTGTGGTTGACTAGTCAGTTTGGAACTCTGGTGTTCATAACTCTGAGGTTCTACTGTACCTTGCTTTAAAGTGTTACCCCATTTAGTTTAGAAATTCTATTAATTCACACTGCAAGTAATCAAAAATATAAAAAAATATAGTTTATTCCATAAAAAGTGTACACTACATGTAATTGAGAGAAATTTAAAAGCAGGCATTTAAAGGTTGTAAGAGCAGTAATTAAATAACGGAAATATTTGGTCATGTTTTCTTTGTATGTTTAGTATGAAAGACATCCACTGTTGTTTCATGACATGGTCTCAAATCAAAGTCACAGTATCCAAGGCAAAAACGACCCTGCAAAAAGGAACACAATTTTAGAATAAGCCATGTTGTAGTTCAAATTCATTCAAAAGAAAATACACACCTACCTGTGGTTTCTTAAAATAATCAAGCCCTCTTCCAATCTTAATCATCCATCCATTGTTGAATCTATTTAAAAAATTCCCAATATTATTCCATCTTCACAAGTTTACAAACTGTAGGTACATTTAACATAATTAGGAAAAAAACCGTAATATCTACAAGTTATGCAAATTCCTCCCACCATTTCAATCAAAATTTCTAGCTAGAGTAGATGTCAACTGTATAATACAGCAATGTCTTGTTTTAAAAACTAGATCCCAGCGGTCCCAAAGTTGAACACAGTATAAAACTATGAAGAACCTACTTTAGTGGATAAAGTAACTGCCTTCTGCTTTGAATGACATTTGTAACCATGGTTATAGATAATTTGTCAAGATTAAATAATTTGGAATTTATTGGTTTTCTGCATCACCAACCTTATTTCTCGATCATGAATTGAAGATGAAAATGAGACATTCAGTGTTACTCCATAGTTCTTTAGTGATTGCTTTATTTCTTCTAGGCTACTTGTCTGTTGACTCTTTCCACTACCCTGTTAAGAGTAAAAGTTGTTTTTTCATCTTGCATGTTCCAATTGTGTCCATTTACCTTCTTCAATTCACTAACACCACTTTGTTCTTACTCTTATCTAAGTCTCAAAATGCTTTATGAAGGCAGATAAATTATACTCATTTTTGCAGATGGGATGACTGAGGTACAGTGACTACCGTGGCCAAAATCACATAAGCAAGCCAATGACTAATTATGCACAAAGACTCAGTTCTCCCTCAGGGTCCCATGCGCTAACCATTAGATATGCTGCCTCTCCAGTACACTGGATTATCTGTTCAGATTAAGATTTGGGCTAGAATGAGTATAATGACAATGAGAGGGTTTATACTTGTCATAATCCCAAAATATCAAAATGTATCCAGGCCTTCCTCATTATAAAGAGTCTCCCAGCAGAATTTATTTAATGGTGTTTCTTACAATAGACAGTCAACTAGGACAATATAAACATCTTTCTTCCAGGGTCACTTCCACTTAGGATGCCACATAAGTAGAATTTATTAGTTAGCAAAATATTTGGAATTACACTATTCAGTGTTTGTTAAATCCTCTTGACCTGATTGCATCTCCTGTTGAAGGAGAGGGGCCCTCAGTCTATCAAATATTGGTAAATATGAATAATAGATATTATACATGAAGTCTAGATACTTACTTCATCATAGGAAGTTAGGAGGTGGATAGTTTTCACTCTGCAGGGCCCCTTAACAAGCATCTCACAGAATCTTAAGAAGTTGTAGAACTGTAAGAGTTAGTTTGATTATTTAATAACTGAAAAAAATTGTTAGTTTTATAGATAAACTACATTCAAGATCCACTTGCCTGGTGAACATGTCTGATGTATGGGTCCTCTACCCAAACTTCTGTAACGGTCTCATTAAGGTAGTCTTGGAAAACCTTCTCATAGCTGAAACCAGTTGAATTTTCTTCAATTTTAATTTGCTGGTGGTATTTACCATCTAAAAAAGAGAAGTATCCTTCACTAAACAAGACAGTGCAATCATACACTTGTATTCTATAAATCCTAGGTAACTGTATTGTAACTTCAGATGTACAAGTGCATCATTTCATGAACATTTAAAAGAATTTACAGTACAACTTCATACCTTCTCTTTCTTTTTCAATATGTTTTTTAATAGCTTCAGCTCTCTTCATGTATTCAGGTATTTTTTGTCTGTAATGAGCTTTTTTTGTTTCATCTTTTGTAGCTGTGAATCAAAAATATTCAGATTATCTCAAAAAAGGAGGACAACTACGTCTGGTAATATTTGATTCTCAATATTTTTCATTGTGTACCTAGGCTTGGCAGAATTTGATATTTTTTAAAAATAATTTTGACTGGTAATATCAATGTTTATTTTAATCACTTTTAAAATTTTCACAGTTCCAGAAAATTATGGGTGGGTGGTGAGACAACAATTATTTAATTAAAGTAGGAGTTGAGATTCAACAAATTAAAGCTTTTTAATGGTTAAAACACAAATTATGAACATCACATGTCAAAATATACAAATTAAATATCCTTAAATGAATTTCTGTAAATTTTGATTATTATTCATGGAAATACTTTGTTAGTACACAAATATTTTGTGTGTTTCTGGTGAAATCAACCCTTACCAACATTTATCAATACAAATCTAAACCTTCCAAGCCTGCATATACCCCAGGATAAGCTTCTTGAACCTGTGTGTGTGTGTGGGGGGGGCTTGGCTACACTTGCATGTTACAGCACAATAAAGGACCCTGGGTGCACCAGCTCACTACCCATCCACACTGGCAAGACACAGAGTGCTCTGACTCCACGGCTTCAGCACTGCTGGTACTCCACCTCTGCGAGTGGAATAACATTTGCTGTGGTGCCAGTGTGAACGAGGTGTTGTTTTACTGCGCTCTGATCAGCCTCCGGAAATGTCCCATAATCCCCTTAAGTCAAGTGGCTGCTCTTATCATTGTTTGGAATTGGCTGTAGGAATGCGGAAATGCCCCTTAAAAGCTCCGTTTCTGACAGCGGCTGCTGGCTGCTTATCTCCTTCCAGACAACGCAACCATTACTGTGGAATGCTGTGTGAGAGAGAGAGAGAGAGAGGCAGGGGAGGGTCTGTTGCTGTCTGAACTTACAAGACAGCATGCTGACATGCTCTCAGCCCCCCAAAAACCCACTCTCTCCCCACCACATACACACAACACACTCTGTCACACTCCACCCCCCCCCATTTGAAAAGCACAGTTGCAGCCACTTTGCATGCTGGGATAGCTGCCCATAATGCACCACTCCCAATGCCACTGCAAATGCTGCAAACGTGGCCATGCCAGTGCGCTTGAAGCTGTCAGTGTGGACAGACTGCAGCGCTTTCCCTACTGCGCTCTGTGAAGGCGGTTTTAACTCAAAGCGCTCTACATCTGCAAGCGTAGCCAGTAGTGTTCTTAGCACTTGTCTACATTTAAAATGCTATAGTGGTGCTGCTGTAGCACTTCAGTGAGGATGCTATCTACACTGACAGGACGGGTTCTCCCCAGTGTAGGTAATCTCTCACGGACCTTGTTCTATCTACAGCCAGGGTTAGGTCGGTTTAGCTGCATTGTCCAGGGGTGTGGATTTTTTACACCCCCTGAGAGATTTAGTTACTGATCTAATTTCCTAGTGTAGACGAGGCCTTAGTCATTTATGAAGAGAGACCCAACACAGGCACATATAACCATAACATGCACATCACCGCCTCTCTAAGCATGTAGCACATACATTAATGTTATTAGGGCTCATCTACACTTAAAACACTTCAGTAGCACAGCTGTGTGGCTTCAGCCTAGACACTTCCTAAGCCAAGGGGAGGGGTTCTCCACCTCCCCAAGAGGCAGTAGCTAGGTTGTGAGAAGAATTCTTCGGGCACCATCTACACAGGGATTTGGGTCGGTTTAACTACACCAGGTAGGGGTGTGGATTTTTCACACCTCTGACCAAACATAGTTAAGACAACGTCATTTTCTAGTATAGACCAGGCCTTAAAGAGGCAGCACCTGCAGGTCAGCCAGAGCTGGGCTCCCTCCCGCCACGCGCTCTCCGCAACCCCGGAGAAAATGACAGCCCCCAGCCCCAAACGTTTGCAAGCTCAGGAAGGAGCAGCGTTAACTCTGCCGGGGGGGTTGCATTGGCGCTGCGGCTCCCGACCTTTGCCGGCGAAGCGGGGCGGGCAGGAAGCCAGCCCCGGCTCTGGGTGGGGTGAGCTACAGCGCTGGAGGGGAGGTAGGGGCCACGCCGCAGAGCCCGGGTGTGGGGATCCAGCCCGTCGGTACCTTTCAGCACCTGCAGCAGCAGGTCAATCCCCTCCTGGTAACACACCAGCGACTCCTGGAAGCGGGACGCCGAGTCCAGCTCCACCGCCCGCTTCAGCGTCGCCACCGCCGGGGGCTCCAGCGCGGCCACCGCGCCCGGACCGGCCTGGGACATGGGGGCAAGCGGCACCCGGCGGGCATCGAACCCCCAACCTGAACCAAGCCTGCGCGCGCCACCAGCCACCACTTCCGGGAGCCAGGCGGAGCTGGGGGAGGCGGTCACGTGATTTTCAGGACCCAGAAAAACCCGAAGCGGCCGCCGGTGTCGCGCTTTATTCCTTCCCCTCCCTCGCGCCGGAAGTAGTCGGAACCAAAGTGCAGCGGCTTCTGGGCGTCGATCTTAGTGGCTGCCGGAATCCGGAAATAACATTCGGGGCCAAGATGGCGGCAGCAGCGCTGGGCTGCGTTGCTAAGAGACCCCCGGCCGCCTGGAGAGTGAGTGGGGCGCAGAGCTGGGGGGTTTCCCTGTGCTGGTCGCCGTGGGAGTGGGGGGCGTGAGAGTGGGACCCGGCCCTGCAGCCCCTGGCCTCCCATTGCCCCGGCTGCTGCGCTCCGTGCTCCGCTTCCCTGGCCCCTTGAGCCCCTGGTGAAAGGGTCGCAGGACTGGGGCTCTTGCCCCTCCGAGCTATCCTGGGCCACGCTAGGGCGGGCTGCAGCCTGATTCCCCTGGGACCGTCCCTCCAGAGCGGGTCAGCCCCAGTGAGTTGCGCTGCCTGATCGCGCTCAGAGTGCGTGTCCCGACTCACCGAGGTTTTCCTCGTTTGCAGGGCCAGAAGCACGCCTGCCGTTCTGCAGCCTCCGTTCTAGTGAAACCAGGGGTTGTGTCCTCATTTCACTAGACACCAGGAGCAGAAACACAGGCTTTAAAAGGTTTCAAAAGTATTTGGTTTCATTAAGCAAGACTATGCTAAATGTCTCGGTGTCAGAACACCCACTGATATAATAAGGGCACAGTATTGTATCGGTTATCCTGGTTGCACAATGGGACCCTGATCCTAATTTAGTCATTTCACGGTTTTATGTACAATACAAATGTTAATAATTTTCTCCTTGAATAAATTTAACAAATCATGCCATAACTTTTTTAGACTCTGGCAAAAAGCAGCATGGAATCACTGACTTGGACAGGATGGATTCGCCATAAATTTACTAAGTCAAGAATTCCAGCTTCAGTAAGCACAATATTTAAAGATTTGAAAGCATGTTTTGGGTTTGTTTATACCTTTAATTTTTTTAGTAAGACTAATTTGTAACAGTACTGAGCAATACCATTGTTAAACCAGAGAGATATGCACTCAGATTCTTGTATGAAAAACCAGTGTCTGATTGTAGTTGATTTTATTTCTGAAACAGGGCATTCTTGAGTCATAAGCCTGTCACAATCATCTTACAAAGTTGGGTCCCAGTCCTACAACTAGACCTCTGCTCTTATGTGTTCATATATATATGGTTGAAGAATCATGCCCCCAAAGACTAGGCTATATATGAGTGGAGGATCATGACCCCAAACTTATTGTATCTTTACGCAAACTGTCATGAGGAAACACTTGAAATAATTTTAGGTTATTTGGAGATTAGCTTTTTTAATACTATGGTCATATGTTGCTGCTTTGCCTTTCTGGAAGGGACGCTTATTAGAAATTTAGGGGGGGTTGCCACATTTTCTTTCTAGTGAAAGACTAAAATATATTTTAGGGGAATATTTTTACAGCAAGATATTGTTGGATTCAGTAACTGTTGAAATGTTTAAAAATAAAAAAACAAAACCATGCCTTTTGTGAACTACTTATTTGTAGGTATTTCAGCCACGGCCTTCAGATCATGAAAAATACGGAGGTGATCCTCAGCAGCCTCACAAACTGCATCTTGTCACTAGAATCAAAAGTGGAATAGGTCGTCCATATTGGGAAAAGAAGATAATACATGATCTTGGACTGGATAAAGTATACTTTCTAATTTACTTTATTTCATGTTTATCATGCACATCTGTAAAGTAATTAGCCTAGAAATTTAGGGCAAAATTCTTTTCTCAGATCTTCAAATCCTATTGAAATCAAAAGGATTACTCACAATAATAAAGTTGAGCAAATAGGTAGGCATTTGCATGATTGGAGCCTAGACGTATGGATCTCCCATGGATATTAATAGGAAATAAGCATTTGTATTAATGAAGATGTTAGTGAATCCCAAAAGTTTAATGAATTTTAGCACACTTATTTTCAAGAAGTGTGAATTTCCCAAAGTAGTTTAATTTTGTGTACTATGTTCTTCTTTTATTGATGTGTGAATTCTTCAGTTGAATACATCAGTTCCTAGAGACATAAATTGCTTTTTCAAAGTGAGTTTGTAACATTCTGCATTGTTTATAGGCAAATCAGCCCAGAGTGCACAAAAATATCCCATCTGTGAATGGAAAACTGAAAGTCATAAAGCATCTAATAAGGTTTGTTAACTTTTCCTTTAACCAGCAACAATTAAAATAACTTGTTACCATAGTCCATGTTTTAAACAAATTCTCTTATCTGTAGAATTCAGCCCCTGAAACTGCCTCATGGAATTCCCACAGAAGAGGAAATGCCAGATACCTTACTTAAGAGCACAGGAGAATTAGTAATTCGGCGGCATCTGAAATGCGTGGAACAAAAAGCAATTAAATCGTAGTATGCACTGACTATTCTCACTTTTGTAAAATTATTTAACCAATAAATTGGGAGTTGTGTCTACAGTAACTCCTCACTTAAAGTTTCGTTGTTACATTGCTGATCAATTAGAGAACATGCTCATTTAAAGTTGTGCAATGCTCCCTTGTAACGTTGTTTGGCAGCCGCCTGCTTTGTCCACTGCTTGCAGGAAGAGCAGCCAGTTGGAGCTAGCTGGTGGGGGCTTGGAACCAGGGTGGACCGACAGCCCCTCATCAGCTCGCCGCACCCCTAAGTTCCCTGTGCAGCAGCCGCCCAGCAGGCCATCAGTTGCTGGTAGCTCAGTTGTCATGTGCTGCTTCTGCCTTGGAGCTGCTCCCAGGAGCCTCCTGCTTGCTGTGTGCAGGGACGGGGGCGGGGAGGGAGAGGAGGAGAGAGGGGGGCTAACGTCAGGGTGTTCCCCTCCCATGTGTCTCTGTCTGCCGTGCTGTCTCCCCTCCTTCCATTCATGCTGCCTTGTAGAGTGTGAGGCTACATTGACAAAATTGGGTTAACCCTTGAGAGCTCAGCCAAAAGCTAGTTCATCATTTAGCAGTCAGCCATTCCCTGGGAAATATCCCACCCTCTTCCACCCTCTAGCTTCACTACTTCAACCAAGCTTCACAATCATCATCACTGTGTACAGTATAAAATTGTTTAAAGTTTATACTGTGTGTGTGTGTATGTATAATATATAGTTTTTTTTTGTCTGGTGAAAAAATTTTCCCTGGAACCCAACCCCCTTCCCCCCCCCACATTAATTCTTATGGGGAAATTGGATTCTCTTAACATCGTTTTGCTTAAAGTCGCATTTTTCAGGAACATAACTACAATGTTAAGCGAGGAGTTACTGTATTAAATGATTAAAATGGAACCCAGCCTGTCCATGAGTAGCACAGTTTACTGTCTCACTATAAAAGTTTTGAGTTAAGACCCTGAAACAACTGCTTCCTCCAACACATTGTGAACATTGCCCAAAAGGCATTTTGCCAGAAGGCAGCAAATGGCACACTGGGATGCCTACCCACCATGTATAGCACTTTGTATCAAAACAAGAACTCCTGGAAAATACGTGCAGCGCAGACACAAGCAGCCAAATATGCAAGCACATGAGTGATATACAAACTTCAGCAGCTGAATGCTACCATAACTTGTGTAGAGATGGCCTGAGTGTGGGATACAGGGAGGCATCTATCTGTGCTTGCAATCTACAGCTGGGAATGCCTTTCCTGGAGTCAGGCACCTTCGATGCCTAAGCTGTTGCTTGAAAGAACAGAAGTTAGGCACCTGCCTGACTCCCACAACAATGTGTGTGTGTGTGTGGAGGGTGTTAAAGGAGGAGATGGCAGGTGCCGTCCTTTGTCCCAGTGTCAGAGTGCTCACCCAGAATGTGGGAAACTGGTTCAGTTCCCCACTCCGCCTGACAAGCAGAAGGGATTTGAACAGGATTCCAACCTCAGGTGAGTGTTCTAACCATTGGATGATAGTCTCGTTCTCTCTCTGGGCCCATTAATATTTAATACAACATAGAATGACTACAACAAGAGACCCACATCTGAATATGCCCTGGGGGTTAGGGTGCTCACTTGAAAGGTGGGAAACTCCTGTTCAAATCCCCTCTGCCTATTGAAGAAAAGGGGAAATCAAATGGGCTTCCCTCAGCCCACCTGAGCACCCTAACCACGGGATCAAGGTTATAAGGGAGTTGTCCTCCTCTGTTTTGTGTGGAGTAAGTCATGCTTAGAAAATGCCTACCTGATCAGGCCGTGATGGTGTTCCCCCATCTATCGTCTGATTTGAGGATTGCACTGGGGCTTAGGTGTGAGTTAGGCATCAGTATGCAGGCCCAGGGGCAAAAATGAGGTTCCTAAGGAACTTTTCAAGTGAAAATTTATTCCATGAGTGAGTTTAGGCACCTATAGGGTTAGTTGGCAGCTCAGTGGGGGTTTTGTGGATTGCAGTGGTACCCACATTTGGGATTTAGGCACCTAAATTCCTTTGGAGCTGAGCCACCATCCTTTCTCAAGATGAATTACTGGGCTGAAGTCATTTCACCATGTGTGTCCATTGTGGATTTTTTGGGGTGCAGCAGGTAGCCACACCCTAGCATAAAAGCTGAGTTAAAGAGCAATAAGCCAATTTAGATAAAGCCTGTTTAAACAAAAATTGGGTTTATCAAGGTACCTGAAAAATGACTGACTATATATGGGAACACAAACTTTTATTTACCTTTAAGAAGAAATGAAAGTCCTGAAAGTTCCATTTCTGTGCTCCTTTTTGGGTACACTTACTACTCCCAGATTGTCTGGAAGTTAGATCCCACGGTGTTCGCAGCCTTTGATAAAGTTCTATTAAACTATGTGGATTCTTTAACTGAACACAGAACAGGTAAAGAATAATAATGTTGATTATACAAGAGGTGCTTTAGTGCAAAGCTCTCAGGTATTCTGAACATTTTTCAACCTGAAACCATACACTGTTTTCAACCACAAACCATACGCTATTGCCTTTGACTACACCCTCAAGTCACCAACTTTTCTCTACACTGACTCCACTACATAACCCAAAGTCTCTTGGGCTGTTTCAGCCAAAACATCCCAAAAAGCATACATAATCTGGTAATTGTTTTTTTTTTTTAAGTTTATTGTGCCTGCTTAAAACCAAGGGGACACTTATATTCAAGGTTTATAAATTTGTCATTTAAAAAAATAGTATAGTATCTATATGTTCTTACTAAAAATGATATATTGATCATTCTATGAGTGTGTGTGTGTGTATATGTGTATATATATATATATGTCAGTAAACACTGCACCAGTTTTGCATTTGGTTATTAGAGTTAAGACTTCCAATTTTAATAACCTAATGTAATCTAACCTAATCTAGTATAATTAATATATGTAATTTTTCATTTTTAGAAATTATTTCTAACCTAAACGCCTCTTGGAGCTCCTAACTTATTTTTCTATTTCCAAGATTTATATCGGAAAAGTAGTATTTTTTTAAATCACTCTGACTACACTACTTTTAGAAACTGTTCTCTATACGAGTGCTAGTTTCCAAATCCATTTCTCTCCAAAAACTGGACTCTTGCAGTAACATCATTTCCATAGTCATTATTTGCTGTGCCAATATCCATTCTGTCATAGCTCTGGACATTTTTAGGTCCTGCATTATATGCAGAAATTGCACCTGAAAGGAAAAAAAATAGATATAGAATATCAGAAAAAATAGATATACTTAAGAGAAACTTGTTTCTTTTTTAAGAAATAAAACTAAACACAAATGCACCTCAGAAGCTTGTTCCTTCAGTGTGCAGTTCCCTTTTGTTCTATAAACACCTTTGGCAAAGTGTGACCCTAACGCACTCCAAGTGAGATGGCAAAGGGCTCCCAGCTATGCAACAGTAAATATTAACTGGCCTGACAAGCTCAGCACATTTCACACTGTTGTCATGATATTCATTTAAAAGGTGTCTTGTAATATATCACTTGTAAACTAATAACATGCTGGTCATTAATATAGCTGTGAAATGTATGTAACAAAGCTGAATGACAGTATGGATAATCTCTGATACTATCTTTTGGAGTCTGTAAACAGACAAAGGAGGCAAAACAGGTTTATTTTTGTCAGTCTATCTAAAAAGGTATCATGTGAAGCGTAGGCACCGACTCCATGGGTTGGCTAGAACACCCATGGAAAAAAAATAGTGGGTGCACCAGCCACAGCTGTTTGGTCAGTCCTGCTGATCAGCTGTTTGGCAGAAGGGGGTAGAGCGGGGGGCCGAGTGGGGGTGAGAAGAGACAGAGTGTGGGCAGTGCCTTAGGGGAACGGCGGGGACAGGAAGAGGTGGAGTGAGGGCAGGGCCTTGGGGGAAGGGGCCGAAGTGGGGTGGGGCCTCGGGGAAGAGTGGAGGTGGAGCACCCACCCAGAAAAATGAAAGTGAGCCCCTGTGATGTGACGTATCATATGCAAACTGGTAAGATGCTAGTCGTGAAACTCATTGCGTGGTGTACTACTGAGTGTGTACAAAGAGTTATAAATGTGTGCTGGAAATATGTTCTGAAAATGTGTTTAGCAGGCAGTGCATAAAGCCCAGCCTCCCCTAGACAAAATAATGTGTATTTACATGTCTGACCGGCTTGATCACCAAGAACAATGAAAAGTATATTTACATAAAGGTAAACAAAGCTAGCAAGTGGGGGTGAATGATCTTGATGGGGAATGGAGTCCGCGCCCCCAGGAAGCCTTCCTGGCTCTTGAAACAGACAAAAAACATTGGGGAAATACAAAGGGGGTAAAGAGACATTTGATTCACCCATCATCTGAGAAAACAAAGAAGCTGTCGCTTTATAGTGACGAAAGACGGGTCTTCCTGCAAAACTAGTTGGAGAATGTTGACAACTTGGTGTAAGTAAGAAACCATGCTAGGCAAGCTGTATCTTGCTAGAATTAAGTTTTAGACATTAGAATGCAGGTTAGTTTTGTTTTTAATCCTTTTGTATCTCTCTCGCTTGAAATCACTTAAATCTATTTTCTTTGTTAACCTTATTCTTAGTTTTACTACAAACCCTCCCAGTTCTGTGTATGAAGGTGGGAGGGTATAACCCCAGCTAACAAGCTGTTATGTGCACTGGCTTTGTTGCTGGCACCCAGTGCCGAGAGGCTAAACACAGCTGGAGTTGGTTCGCTACCCGGTGTGCTACACCCAATAATCACAACGGGGTGGAGAAGCAGAAAAGTTTATTTGCAGCTGCAAAAAGGTACAGGGAGAATAGAATCTCAAATCCTGCACACAGAACAGGAAGTTACACAGGCTTTTATACATCCTTTTTCCCAGCCTACTTATCCAATAGCAAGCTGCCCTAAGTATCTATATAGCCAGCCAATCCAGTTCCCAGCTAGTGCCCTTGTTCTCTGTATCATTTGTTAAACCATACATAAAGCTGCTTTATTCAGCATTGTTCTTCCATATCTGCCCTGTTTGGCCTTGCTTAGTTTCAGGCAGTCTGACTCTGCAACATATTGTTGCAGATCCTCAGCTTAACTGCTGTGAGTGCCTCC